GCAAGACGTTTGCAGATGGAAAACAAGCGCGGAGACCAGGCCCCAGCCTCAGTCCACGTACGCTTGTAAATCCTCCTAGAGACCGGCTCGCGGGCTCTAAGCATCGTGGAGATCACCGCATCAGACAACCCTCTGTCCCACAGGATCTGGCTCTCAACAGCCACGCCGTCAAAGCCAGCGACTGTAAAGAAGGATGGAACACGGGCCCCTGGGACAGAAGATCTGGACGCAGAGGCAGCCGCCAGGGGGCGTCCACCAGTAGTCGAACTACGTCCGCGTACCACACCCTCCGAGGCCAATCCTGAGCCACGAGGACGACAGGGACGTCCTCGACCGCGATCTGACATAGCAGCCGAGGCAACAGGTAAAGTCGAGGGAAGGCATAAATCAGACCGTAATGCTCCCAAGGAGCCACCAGGGCATCCACCGCCTCCACCCAGGGATCCAGAGCCCGGGCCACAAACCTCTTCACCTTCCGGTTGAGTCGAGACGCCAGAAGGTCCACATCCGGCATCCCCCAGCGAAGGCACAGCTGATGAAAGATGTCCGGGTGCAGGGACCATTCCCCCGGGTCCACCGACTGGCGACTGAGGTAGTCGGCCTGCCAATTGTCCACCCCAGGGATGTAAACCGCTGACAGCGCAAGGACCCGACCATCTGCCCAAGACAGGATCTCAGATACCTCCCGACTTGCGGACACGCTTTTTGTGCTGCCCTGATGATTGATGTACGATTGATGTGGCGTTGTTGGATTGAATCCGAACTGACAGAGCCCGAAATAATCCCTCGCCTCCAGAATGTCCCTCTGGAGGGTCCTGGTGTGATGTTGAGCAAAGGGCACCGCCTCGAAGGAGGCTACCATGAGACCCAGGACCTGCATGCAGAAACGAACGGGTGACCAGCGGCGAGTCCGCAACAGGCACACGTGGGAGCGAAGCTTCCGGAGTTTTCCGGAGGAAGGAAGACCCTGGTCGCGACCGTGTCCAGAACCAGGTACTCCAGGCATGGGGAAGGCACCAGGCAAGACTTCAGGACGTTCAGGACCCATCCGAACTCCTCCAGGGAACGCACCGTGACCCCCAAGGCCGACACCAGAGAGGAGTGCGACTTCGCCTGCAGAAGCAGCTCGTCCAAGTACCCCACGATCGATATCCCCTGGCGACGCAGGAGCGCCAGAACCGGGGCCAGCACCTTGGTGAACACCCGCGGGGCCGACGCAAGGCCGAAGGCCGCGAAACGAAGAAATCGCTGATGAGACACGCAAATAGGCACATGAAAGTAGGCATCCTTGATGTCAATTGAGGCCAACAGGTCCCCCGGACGAAGGCACGTCACCACCGACCGAATCGATCTTGGGCACAGTGAACAGATTGAAGTAAAAACCCTGGAAGCGTTCCGAGGACGGAACTGGTACAACAACCCCCTGGGCCAGGAGGTCCGCCACCGCGCAATGAAGAGCCGCAAGGCGAGAAGGGGAAAGACGCATGTTGCACGGGAAAAATCTGTGACCCGTTGGAGACAGAAATTCAATCTTGTACCCCGAGGTCACTAGCTCCCGAACCCAGGTGTCGGAGATGTGAGCAAGCCAGAAGTCCGCAAAGAGCCGAAGAGGGGCGTGGCCACTAAAGGGTGTGGCCACTGAGGGGCGCTGTAAAGCTTTCTCGCACAGGGCGCCTAAAGGCCTAAGGCCGGCCCTGCACACGCGGCACCAGGGGCGCCGCATCCAGAGCCGAATTGCAGACATACTTAAGGCCCTGCACCAGCTGCTCCGCCAAATCCCCGTAGGCAGGGGAAACATTCTCATCCACAAGACCCATCTCCACAAGACAAGAAGCATCTTCGCCCATTCTGTCAAGGTTTGCAAAACCAGGGCAGACGCCAGGGCGGTGGGGTCCTTAAAGGACGGCGAATCCTACACCGGGATAAGAGTGGCCTTGTTCAAGCGGGAGACCGGGGGGTCCACCCCAGGCGGGGTGGCCCACTTGGACAAGAAAGCCTCCTCAAACGGATAGCGAACCGAAAATCGTTTCGGAACCGCAAAGGACTTGGACGGGCGTTTCCACTCCTTATAAATGAACTCGTCAAAAAACGGAATGTAGGGAAGGCTTTGCGGAAGGCTTGCTCTTATGCGTTTCAAACCGTACCGAGGACATGGTAGAAGTACCGGGAGACTCCTCTATCTGAAGCGTCTCACGGACGGCGCGCACCAGCGCCAAAACTAGCTCACGTTCCTGAACCATGAGCGCTGACGCAGACTCATCCTCACTGCCCGAGTCCGGCGGCGAGGAGTCCCCTGGATCCCGACGGGGTGACGCGGATGGAATTTCCCCCTCCTCCTCGGACTCCCCATATAACGCCGGGGACGGCAAAGGCAGAACCCGCTTTTTAGGGGGTCTCTGCGTGAGGGCGCGTTCAATGTGCCACACAAACCCATCCATAGTGGAGGAGAAAAACTCCATGGACAATGCAGTACCGGTGGCACCAACCGCCCCCCCCGAGGGGCGAGAAGGCAACTGACAGAGGAGCGCAGGCGTACAGGCCGCGCAGAGCGGTGATCCAGAGGGGCCCGCAGTGCGCAGCCCACATCCCTCACAAGGCAGCCCGGAAGTATGGTCCTTTCGATCCATAGCCCCCTTGCACCAAGAAACCAGCCCACCAGAGATCGTCACAGGCAACAGGGAGACCCCTGCAGTTACTCGCGACCCCCGGCTGTGTAAATGCGTTCAGCACCAGCAGCGTCCGAACCCAGCAAGGGAGAACTGTCCCCTGTGTCCTCCTGTAGCGGCGCCTCAGGCCGAAAGGAAGTGTGTCCCCGGCCGTCCGGGGATGAAGAGAGCCCGGGCGGAAGTGACACGGCAGAAAGGGCACTCTGCCCTGATCCAAAACGGCGGCCGCGCCGCCGCCCGGAGGCCGCAACACAGCCGGGACCTCGATTAGCAGCCGCCGCATGGT